GCCAAGCTCCTTTGAGCAGTCTTCAGTTGTTCCTTCCAAGCTCTTTCATCAATCCCTTCGAACTTCCTTTTCAGACTGTGAGCTTCGTTTTTCCAGTATTTTTGAGGACTCTTTTCTGTTCCCTTTCCAGTTTGTCTACTTTATCTTTCTGAGAGTCGGCATCGAGCTTCCATTGATAACGTTCAGCTTCAAGTTCCTTAACCCTCTGCTTCAGCTCGTTATTCACAGCTTCAAACTCTGCCTTGGCTATCTCAAATTCAGAAGGGACATGCCTGAGATATTCATCCATGGTCCGAGTGTCTTCACAGTCTGGCACCGGGATGTTATCATTCTTTCTCAATCTTCTCCACTTCACATAATCCGGAGTAAGCATGTCTCTAACAGCCACAATATCCATCTGGAACACTTTCTTCCAAGAGTCATCTACCTCTTTGATCATCTTCTTATAATTATCACCATGGTACACAAACTCTGATGCAGATAATCCATATGTAGCCGGGATGAACTGACGTGACCCATACTGTCTGAGTGCTAACAACGGAGCATACCCAACTGCACCCCAAATTCCAAGTAAGGTCATAGTGTTAGAATCCCCACACCGGAAAAGAACGTCACCGAGGAACAACCAGGGGGCTCTCCAGGTAATATCCTGATCCTGAAGATGTGTAAAGACTCTCATCCACTTTTCCCTTGAAGCACCTTCATGTCATTTCATAGTGATGAACTCTCCCAAAGGTGAATATGTAGTGTTGAATCGGCCTTGGGCAACCCCGTTAGTCTTCCAGAAATGGTTGTGAATCCAGACTTGAAGAAGCTGAGCGCATCCAATGAACCTTCCTCTGCCAGTTCTTCGAAAATGGTTGAGAGATCAAAAGGTCTCGGCCAAGATGGTCGGTGTTGGGTTGACTCGTTTTTAGAAGTTGTTCAAAAAGTTCCACCACGGCTGTGTCAATGCACCCCAAAGCTTTCGGAAAGATAATCAAGCTGTACATACCTAGTACAAACAGGTCTATAGTCTTCCACTCATCAGGGTGGTCCTTCATTAGTTGCTTTATGTGGATCCATTCAATTCCTTCCCCGTTGCCTCTGCGCTGAGCCCGGTCAATTATCAATTTCTCGTCTACTCCTGCAACTTTAGCCAGTGTATTCTTGAAAGGTTGACTTTTAATGTGTTTAATGTAGGCTCGCTCCAGTTTGATGTTTTCACAGTGCAGTAGTGTAGTGTACTCCTCGATAGTGGGCACCATGTCCTCCCGGTTAAAAGTGAAGCAACTATATCCCGGGTTCCAGAATTGAACCAAGGCTCTGATTAAGGGCTCATCAGTCCTAACATGGAGTAAAAGTGCAATGTCACCGTACCGTTGGCTGAACTTTCGTTTTCGATCATTCTTCCAACTGTCTCAGATGTCTCGAAGTCTTGAACATTGTTCTGTTTAGGCTGATAGAGGCATAGCTAACCAGCTCTGACACATAACTTCCTTGAAGACTGTCTCCCTTTTCCTTCTTAGTCTTCTCGGACCATTGTCGTACCTTGGGGTTTTTAATCTCTTGCATTACAACACCTTTGTCCATTTGTTCAGATTATTTTGTGCATAATAAATACCTTTTTAGGGATTAATGGCCTCTTGTTATGATGCAAATGCTAAGAAAACAAACACAAAGGTAAAAAGTTAGTAAAATAAAAATACATAAAAAGAGTGACAAAAGGAAGGGGAAAAACAAAATAAAAAAAACATGGTTAGGGTAAAAAAAATATCCAATATTTTGGCATGTGGTTTCGGGGTAGGCTCTATTTCTCCATAGTCTCCCGGTTTAGGTTCTAAAAAATGGTACCCGAGTTCTCCTTGCCGGTGTCCCCTTGGGCTTGCCCGACCCTTAGTCCTAAACCCATCACAGGCTTGTGTGGACCAGGTTAAACTCGAGATGACACATTCCCTTATGCCCATACGGAGAATAAATTCACACGAAGGCATAAGGTATATGAATCCCGAAGGCTACTTTCTAGGCTCATGCGGTGAATAAATTCACACGAAGGCGTCGCTTTCACCCCCACTTAAAACGGGTTCGGAGCTCGAGTTTAGAGCCTTAGATGAAAAATATTTAGGGGCTGAAATTATTAGAAAACGGTTAGTACAACTATTTACTCGAAAAAATATAATCAAAAGTAAGCAATAAGGATTGAAATGTTACCTTAAAATTTAAACTTACCCTTTTCGTTAGAAAGATAACTGGAAATTACCTTAGCCTGACTCACTTACCTGTGTCCCCAGCGGAGTCGCCAAGCTGTTGGAATCGTCTTTCGGGTGGGCCCCGGAGTTAGGCTTCGACTTAGGAAAATGGATTAGGAGTCGCCATCGATCATTTATTTATTAAAAATGGGTTGATCGGATACCTTATTTCTTACCTGATCTGTGTCTTACTAGTGATGTATCGGATTCGGGAGTCGGTTACAATCAAGGAAGGGTTAGCACCCTTGAACTGCCCTTTCGGTATTATATAATTTCCAGTTGTCATTAAGTAAGAAAATTGTAAGTTTAACTTAAAAGGTAAAACATCGATCCAAATTACTTACATCTGATTGTTTGAAAATGTACCCTTAAAAGATTAAATAGGTTAGACTTGTAGTGAAATATGCAATCAATGTAAAACAGAAATAATAAACAAAGCACAAAAAGATAAGGTAAATAAAAAAAATGATCAGAAAACAACACAAAATAATAAAAGATGAAAAAATAAATTATGAAACCAAACATAAAAAGGGAACTAAACAGAAACATAAATAAAAAAGAAAATAAAAAGAATAAAGTAAAAACATAAAAATGATACTAATAAAAATAATTAAAAGGTAGAATAGATACATATGTACAATGTAATGTGATAAACAATCAAATAAAAATAATTAAAATATATAGTGATAAGCATATAAATAAAATACTATGCGTGTACCTATATATATATATATATATATATATATATATATATAATGATAAGATATAATAATGGTATAAAATATATACATACATATATTAAAATACTATAAATAATAAATAAAAAAAGAAAAAATAATAAAATATATATATGATAACAAGGGTTAAAATGAAATAAAATAAAATTGGATGACCAAATTAGAGGATAATTTAATTTAAAAAAACTGAACCAAGGGGTAAAATGATGGATTTAAAATAAATAGGGATCGAATTGGGGATTAACCCCTTTTAATTATGAAACACGTGGATCCGGGTGCAAAGACGGGTCAACACGCGGACCCTTAACGGGTTATCGAGCCAAGTATAAAGCCAACTTTTCCATTTTTAGATTTCATTTTTCCATTCTCGTTGAAGCACCCCTTCCCCTTTCTCTCAAAATGTTCACTTCTGTTCAACCGTGTTCTTCATTTGAAGAACACGGCCACCCTAAATTCCAGAAAACAGCCATACGCCGCCCCAAGCCGCCTCACCGGCCGCCGTTCATCGACGACAAAATTTGATTTTTTTTTTGTTTTTCGAAAACCCTTCATCTCATCTTTAAAAAAATCAACTTGTTTTTTTCAAAAACGCCTTAAGGTCGCGTAGATATGGAGAAGAAGTTTCGGGAAAAAAATAATAAGGGGCCTCCCTCTGATCCTCGGCCGTACGTTTCGAATAAAAAAAAGAACAAAGAGCAAAATCAACACATGCAAGGCCAGAAATAACACAACGAAGGTAAAACGAACTACCTTTATTTCTCTGCTTCTCGAAAAAAATACAATGGCTTTTGATTGCTTCTCTATTCGTTAGTAATCTCGCAATATTTGTGTGTGCTCTCGTAATCTCTCTCTATGTCTTGCGTGTATTTGTGTGTGTATTCGTATCAGTTACAAGTGTGGATTACCCTTATTTATAATGTGAAATAAACCTATTTCTATGAGTTAAATCCTAGTAAAAGAATAATGCTTGTTTTTTGTTTGTTTGTTATCTCCACGAAATCCACACGCCGAGAAAATCGGAGCACGTTGCCATCGAAACAAGGGCTCTCCAATAGCCGTGCGAGGCTTGGATTTGTCAAGAGTATGCGGCGGCGTATGAGTGATGAGGGTTAGGGTTTCAGAAACCCTAACCTGCTTGGGTTCTTAGATGCTGGGTTGTGCCTTGTTGGGCCACGTGTAACGGTCCTAATCCTGTAAAAACAGAACATGAATTAGTACGTGTGCTCCATGTAATATGTATTATTTAATTATAGTATGTAACATATCATGTATTTATAATATAATACATATACATTGTATATAAATAATATCAACATCATGTATACTATAAATAATATCACATTAACATATATATGTCATGCACAAAGGAAAAAATGTATGTTATGCAACGTAAAATAATGCTAATCCATGGGACAAAATTTGGTGTCTTCACATATAATTAGAGAATTAAATTTATTTTATGAATTTTAAATTATGACTAATTTCATAGAATGTGTAAGTAATAAGGATTAAATGTGTAATTATAAAAATTTTATTAACGATCAATTCAATACTTCCGTTAACTGTTAGTGGCATGGTTGAATGCATTAAAATAGTTGGGTGGTCTGATTGATAAGAATTAAAAAAAATGACCAAAATATAAAAGAGCTATAGTTGGGTGGCGGTTGGTATAGTTTACCCATTTATAATTATCGAGATTTTATTGGTACTCTGCTTATTAAAGCTGGATAATCTAATCTGCATTTTGTTTCGTAATTAGAACAAGTCCCATGCTCTTTACTCTCTTTTGATGCATCCCATAAATGGGCTCAAATTTCATCGTTCCTAAGAGTCCCATAACTTTATCGTTTTTCACAGAAAAGCCACAAAAAGCTGAAACAAAAACTAAAAATTCTTATGTTTTCTTTATAATTTGTTTTCTGTTCTTTTCTGGGTTCATTCACTAAAAACACAAAACGCTTACCGTTCCTTGTAAAGAAAACCATAATAAATTATTTTTTCCTCTAAAGCTTTGTTTTTCTTCTACCAAAGGAAAATGGAGAGCCAAACAAATGAAAACAAAGAATCCAAAATTCTATCACCGTGCAGCAGTGGAAGAAGCAGTGCAAGTTCACCCGAATTCGAGTTCTGGATGGTTCGAAATCCGTCTATTCCTCAACCTTATCTCATCTCCGCAGATGAACTCTTCGTAAATGGCGTTCTCCGTCCTCTCCATCTCCTAAACAACAAACAACCTGAAAAGAGCCCACAAACCGAGCAGAACCCACCCGCATCAGAACCTTCGGTACCCGACACAGAGTCAGAGCCTGAGCCTAGCCCTCTTGTAACATCCTACCCGACTCCTGCCTTATCAGCTTCGAAACGGTGGAGGGATATTTTCAAGAAAGAAAAAGGAAAGAGCGGTGCCAAAAATCAACAAGACAAGGATAAGGAGAAAGATAAGAAGAAAGAATTCAAAGAAAAGAAGAGTCAGAGTCAAAGCGGAGAGAGTCAAGCTGAGTTGAACATAAATATCTGGCCTTTTTCAAGGAGTAGATCCGCAGGTACCAGCGCGTCCCGACCCAGAATGACCGCCTCGACGGCGGGTGCCCGTAAAGTGAGTAGCGCTCCATGTACCCGTAGCAACTCAGCCGGTGAATCGAAGTCGAGAAAATGGCCGAGCAGTCCCAGTAGGGCAGGGGTTCACTTGGGGAGAAGCAGCCCGGTTTGGCAGGTTCGTCGTAGTGGTTCCGATGTTAAGAGTTTCAATGCCTTGGCCCGGACCGCTGACAAGGGTAGCGGTAAAAAGGAAGTAACTGAAGCTCGTCGCTATAAAACCGGTAACGGTAGCATCAATAATTGTGCCAATGTGAACGTGCCAATGTGCATCGGGTATAAGCGTCATTTGAATTGTAGAATCGACGATAATAGTGCCGCAGTTGGCGGCAGCGATGTTAATGGTAGAAGCAGCGGATCTAACCTTAGAAGTGGTAATAACTTTTTTAATTTGCGTAATCTCTTTACTAAAAAGGTTTATTAACCCTCTTTTTTATTTATTTATTTTTGCTGTTAATTGGATTCTAATTTTTATAAATATATAAATTTTCTTGTTTATCCTTTTGTTATTCTTCCTTCAATATTGTGTAAACATAGATCCGTTTTTTCAGTCTTGACATTCGCTAAACGCTACTGCACATCTTTTTCCCGTTTGTAAATTACGAGCGCTATTTTGAATGCACAAATTTATTTGAAAATCTACAATTAAAGTTATTAAATAAAAATATTAAGAAAATAATGGTTTGTGTATTATTTGATTGGGAATATTTTTAACATTTATGTTTATAAAATAATTTAATTATATCTAATATTTCTTCTAAGCAAAATACCAAATGGATTTGTAATTTATATTCAATATTCACCATTTTAGGACATAATTTTTTAATATTCAACACTTAACCTTTTAGTATTTAGTGTTTTAATACTTAATTATTATAAGTTAAAGAGATTGTTAACTAATTAATTAGATTAGATGGGTTAAATAATTATAAATGAAAATGAATGGATGTATACAGGGATTTGGTATTCCTACCGTATATGATGCTAGACAAGTAAAATAAATCAATGGCTTCGAATCATAATTGTGTTAAGACATCAACCAATAGCTTTGCAGTTTGGTTGATTATGTTTACTACTTGTTGCTAGTTTCTGGGTTATGAAAGCCATAGAAAACAGAAGATTTTTGTGCATTCATTCTTGTGGAAACCGTACAAGGGCAAAGCCCCAGCACAACGTCGTTTCAAAAGAAAATAAAGGCATTCGTTCTTAATGAAAGGCACCATCCTGTCATGATCGCATTGAAAAAAACTTGGTTGGAGCTGAAATAAAAATGTGGCTTTCAATCAATAATATATATGACCGAATCAAGCAAGGGCCAGTTTCATCAAGAATTACCAGTTGTATGACAAATTGTAAGCGCACTGAAGGACATCCAGGTCTGCTTTTCGACCCAAATGTCGATTATGAGGTGATAAGGTCCCCATCCCTAGACAATGATTTGGGCCAAACACGCTTACAGTCCGAAATTTTCAGAAACTAAAGCTGGCCCCAGGGGATATGGACCGAGTCAGCTACCTTGGGCTTTAATTCGATGATGGAAAATAGAATCCAGCCGCCGACAATCATATAATTTTCGGCTCAAGGGCACATGGTGTAGCCAACAAGAAATCAAAGCCTATGTATGTTCACTCCCCAAAGTCTAGCCAAGCCAAGCTATATAGCCCAGGGAGCTCCAGAAAAATAGAATTTCCTATTCTCTATCTCTCTCTACGAACTTTATTCTCGTTCGGACGAATCAATGGCCTCCCGTGACAAGAAACCAGCTAAGCCGTCGAGCAGCCGCGCCGGTGGTATACGCACGCTCTCGGATCTTAACCGCCCATCTGGACACGATTCCGACAGCGATTCCGATAATCCGCAGGAGTACTACACCGGTGGCGAGAAAAGGTTCTCTCTCGCTCTTATTATTTCAATTTTTTCTTTTATTTAATTGACGCCTTATTTATTGTTATCGAGAATCATCCGATCCTTTGCTTGATTGTTGAGGAAATTTAAAGGTTGAGGTATGATTTGTTGATGAGTTGCTAATGTTTCAAACTTGGTTGATTTCTATGGCGCTTGAAGTGTGACAAAAAAAATTTATGAATAGAACTTAATATAGGATGAAAACATGACTAAGAACTTACTGGGGGGATTTGCTAGAGTGGATTTTGTTTTCGCCTGGTACTTTGGGCAAATTTTGTTAGTAGACTTTAAGATTTGCTTGGGATTTGAAAGCTATTCTTGCAAAGTATTGACACTGTTGTTCACATTGAAATTGAGTTATGTTCTTGGTAAGCCTTTCTCGGTTTGATGGTATGGTAAACTAAAACTGCCATTTCTCAAAATAGCAGATCATGTTGAATTTATCATTTAAGGTTGACAGATTTGCTTTAGTGTCAGCTGGGGGATATAAGCATTTTGAATTTCAAGGGATCTTACTAACCAGGAAATGTCCTCTCTTTGATGATGTTAGTTTTGATCTCACTTGCATGTAGTGCAAGTTGAATCATTTCTGGGACAGGCATTCATATATGTTTTGTTTTTAGATATTTTAGTGTTTTCAGTATAATTCTTGTTCTGTTCAAACAAAAACATGCTATCTTGTTTCTTGTCTAATGGCGCATAGAAGCATACTATGTGTATTCCTTTCTCATGTGATGAGAACTTACTGCTAGCAAATTTTAACCTTCTTGCTTGCTTCACATTAGGTGATGTATAATTATTTTCTCATTTGATAGAATTCGAAAGCCTTATTCTATAGTATTTTTGGATGTAGTTTCTGTTTAGTTACAAGCTGCTAGGTTTTGACCTGAGAGTCTGGCGTGCGGTCCAGGAGCAACTTTATTAATCAACACAAAACCATCATTCTTTTTAACATTGATGAAGCCGTTTTCATTTTTTATGCCAATTTTTCTAAGAGAATTCATCCAACCCTGCAATTCAGTTTATTATGATGACATGCTAAAGGTGACCAACAACTCTGCTTTTTGCAGTGGCATGCTTGTTCAAGATCCTTCTAAGAAAAATGATGTAGATGAGATTTTCAATCAAGCTAGGCAACTTGGAGCTGTGGAAGGTCCTCTCGAGCATCCTCATCCTTCATCAAGCTCAACAAGTTTTACTGGAACCGGTAGATTACTCTCAGGAGAAAGTGTGCCTTCTGCACCTCAGCAACCCGATTCTGTTATTCACAACATAGTTTTCTGGTCCAATGGTTTCACTGTAGATGATGGCCCTCTTAGAAGGTTGGATGATCCTGAAAATGCACTGTTTTTAGAGGTAATGACACGTATGATTGAACACCTCTTTTCTAAGTAAGAGTTAAAAAAGATAAATAAAGTGACAGATGCTACTGAAGGGGATGATTTCATAGTTACTGAGTTTGGACTTCCATATTCTTTTCTTTTCCATTTTGTGTACCTTGCAAACAGGCGTTCCATTCTATATGTTTTCAATTCTTTTGTAAGTGAATTAATTTATATGTCTCGGAATGCTGTTTCTTGTTTATTCACTTCTTGGTTGCATGCCAATGCAGAGCATCAGAAAGTCCGAGTGTCCTAAAGAGCTTGAGCCTGCTGATAGAAGGTCTTCTGTTCATGTCAATCTGATAAAGAGGGAGGAGAAATTCCCCGTGGGTCTCTCGCTCTTGTCGACATTACCTTAGCCCAAAAGGTTGAAGCCCATCTATAACTCCTATTTTTATCCTTGCAGGAACCAGAGAAGAAACGCCAAGTAGCGTTTCAGGGTGTTGGAAGAACTCTTGGTAGCAGCAGTAGTTCGGCATCTCCTGAGCCAACTCTCAGTTCCAATCCTTTCAACTCAGCTCCAAGCCCTTCTTCTGGCTTAGTTGTGGACGAAAGTTTACCATCAACCTCTATTCAGCTCAGGTTGGGTGATGGGACTCGCATGATAACCCGCTTCAATCTCCAGCATACGATTGAAGACGTCCGTTCCTTCATCAATGCATCTAGACCTGGGAGCACAACAAACTATCAACTGCAGATGATGGGTTTCCCTCCTAAACTTCTTACTGATCCATCCCAAACCATAGAGCAGGCAGGCCTTGCCAATTCCGTGGTAATCCAGAAGCTCTAGAACTGGTTGCTCCGAAACTGTCTATCTAATCTCTACAACTGCTTATTGTACCAAGTGGGAAAAGTTCCATTAGCTTGTGATCATGAACTACTACAGTGCACTGGAAACTCGTTTTTTATGGTTGTTTGCGAATGAATGGGATTGAATTGTTTGAACTCTCTCTCTCTCTCTCTCTCTCTCTCTCCTCATTGTTTATATCTAATAATCATCACTTTTCTAAGCGGTAAGTTACAGGATAACTTATAAATAATAGGGTAAATTCCCTTATTAGTCATCCAACTATAGGATTAGTTCTATTCTGATCACTAGTTAAAAATCTAGCAAATTTGGTCATAAATGTTACAAAATCATATTTATATGTGGCTACTGTTCTTTGAATTATAAATCAAGTTGCCATTGTTCCCCCCCTAAATGGATGTAGTAACATATTTAGTTATATTTATATATATATATATATATATATATATATTATTTCTGAAAATTTAATAAAGTTAGTCTCGTCAGCAATTTCAAGAGCATGTGTTAAAAGCTCTCACACCTCCCTTTTTCCTTATATTGTGGGTTCAATACTTATTAGAAATAAAATTCTCTTTCCTCTCTTTCTAGATAATATAACAGGCGATGATCATATTGATATAATTTGTAGTTGAATGATTAATATAGTAATTTGTTCTAAATAATATATAGAGGTGCTGAAGTTGTCACCATAAGCACTTCGTTCTTAAGCTCATCATTTCCACACAAAGTTCCATTAATAACAAAGGAAAAGGTCGGCCGAGGCTGGAGAACTTCATCAACAGGTTTTTTCTTTAACATCCAATGATGGAGGGGTAGTAGAATATAGATGTGTATTTTATACAACAATAAATGCCATATATTATGGTTCAAATTACAAGTCTAATTCATAAACTGTAAGTACATAAATTATCTAGTTAAAACCGTTGTACTGGGCTCTTGAATTTTAAATTATAAATTATAAATTTTGAGATAGAATCTCGTTCCCCCCAGTACATGTAAAGCCAATTCAAGTCAGCCACACCAGATTAAAATCTATGTTTTATAGTATAAGTTTAACTCATAAGCGGAGCATTAGACAGTGGACTTGGAGTTCAATTGGCAAAAAAATTAGCCTTTGGTTACAATAAAACCTTTTAAGAAGATCAAAATAATTTTAAATCTATCTAACTCAATCGAGTGAGATTATTTCATACATTTCATTTAAACTCTTAAGGACAGGAATTCTAAAAACAAGATTGATTATCGAGAAATAATACTCATAAATCATCAATTGTATCTATAGGTTTAACTATTTTTTTTTGTTTTCTTCGCTATGCACCTTTTTTATTAATTGAAGTAAATTTAATACAATATCTATTCAAAGATAACTCTCAACTATTTGATATTAAAAGCTTACACTCCCGACATTCCTGATACTCGAACCCAAAACCTCAAGGAATAACAACAATTCCTTTACCACCGAGATCGTTTGGTTTGTACTAAAAATCTCAAATCATTCTTAAAAATTAAATTTATTCTTATTTTTTTCTTTTAATTGTATTAAAATAGACGCGCTACATATTTAAGCCTTTCTAATTTATACATAATTTATCCTAAATTCTCATCTCACCATGGCATACATTTTTGTATTTTAAAGAATTAGTAGTAAGGGTGAGCAAAACTCGACTTGACTCGAAAATTCGATTTTTTTTACTCGACTTGATTTAAAAAAACTCAACTCGAGTTGATTTCGAGTTGTAATTTCATAAACTATACTCGACTTGAAAAAACTTCAAATTCAAATCGAGTTGTAATATATAACTCGAATAGTCAATATTATTTTTCTCGTTGAAAAAAACTATTTTTCTAAGCCTTTTAATTGATTTTATGGATTGATAACAGTTTCGACGTGGTGCTACTATGCAGGCCCTAAGCCAAGAAGTCGTGCTTTTAAATTGAATAAGAAGGTTCGAGTCTCGGGGTGAAGGAAAGGTAAGTCAATATTATTTGGCATGTGTATTCTTCATACTATTTTGCATTTCATAATGTGGATTTACTATTAAACTCAGAACAATATTTTTCAGCGCTAATTGAGTTTTGAATCCTAGCTGATGAGTACTGCACAATTGAACAGCCTTTTGTCTTTGAGGATTTGGAGGTCCCTACACACAAAACCAAAAACATTGTGAACTATGTAAACCAAATGGAGATTGCCAAGAAACTTCTGCTGGTGGATGGAGGCCCCATAAATGAGAAGTTGAAGCTAGCTACACAAAATCTACACTATGTCAATGTACTGCCATCAATTGTAAGTCGGTGTTAACTGTAATATTCCAGTGTCTCCAATTATTAGCAAAACATAGTTGAACTACTGGCTTGCCTTTGTCATTATTACATGGTAACACTGTATTAATAACTTTTCGTTATCGCTGTCATTATGATAGATTTGGATTTAGAACTATTTGAATGCTATGCCTAGTGGTATGAACATATGCATCATGCTCTTGGATTGCTTAAATACGCAATTGCCGAAGTTGGCTAGTATGATATTCCCCCCCCCTTTGATGCTGACACTGTTGTGTGTGTTTTTGCAGGGCTTGAATGTCTACAGCATCTTGCAGCATGACACATTAGTGATGTCCCGTGATGCTGTTAACAGGATTGTTGAGCGAATGCACACACTCCAATCAACTCGTTGAACTAGAATTGCGGCTATTGGTTTTTTAGTTTTCTCCCGGAATAGGAAGCCTTTATTTTTACTCGAAGCAGCTGAGAGAAAAAGAAGAGAAACCCCAAATGATTAGTGTGTTGCCTAATGGATGGCTGGAGGTATAAGCTCGTTTGTAGAAACATATTCAGCTTTGAGTTTTGTTGTTCAAATCTGGCGAGAGAGAACAAGAGTGTTATTCTCTTCTCCTATATTCCCATTTAGCAGTAATAAATTTTCACTGGCTTAAGCATGCCTGACCATTCGTTATAATTTAATTCTTAGAATATCATTACAAAACCTTGATGATGCTGGTATTAAAAATGCATTTAGATTATTATTTAACGGTATGTTAGATAATGATACATTAAAAGTCATGTGATATATTCGAAATTAGTTGTAGTTTCTTTTTACTGCAAAATCAAACCACTAAGGTCTACACGTGTTTCCAATAATCAGACCCATTGGTAGGTAACGGTTATGAAGCTGATAAAACAAATATTTTTTAAATTATCATTAGATTAAGATTTTTTATTTAATTAAACACAACATGTGCGATTAAAAATTAAAAAAAAAACTTGATAAAACAAATATAGTATAGAAAATAAATAATTCATTAAACCTGAGATATTATATAAAAAAGACTTGAATAATAACATTTTTTTAATTTTCCAACTATTTTTCATTCTGTTGAGAAATTTATAACAGTGTAAATCTGTATGACTGTAATTGGGAAACTAAATATATATACGCTTATATTATGTATTTAAAAAAACGTACATGTCTCCTTTGAACAATTTCCCCCCGCAATACTGATATTATTTATATAAGTAGAATTAAAATAAAATAAAATAAAATGGTTGTTACTCCAGCACTTGACTGTATTGTCTCCACCACCATAGTACTTTCTTCTTGAATGAGTTGTCTCCACTCTTCCTCTTCCACTGGGAAATCTTAGGGTTTTGTCCATCTTTCTTCAATTCTCCCCTTATTTGTTCGAAAGCTTTCCATTTTCCCTTTCAAAGAAAAAGATTTGAACTTTCCACCTCAAAACCCTAGCTTCCATGGCAAAAACAAGACCAGGGGTTTCTGCTACCAAGGCCAAACAAGGCAAGAAGGACCTCGACTCTTACACCATCAGAGGCACCAACAAAGTTGTCAGAGGTACCGTGTTCATGTAGATATATACGCCTACGAATACGTGTATGCAGTAAAAAAATGCGGCTTTGGTGGGGGGAATTTTCGGATCTCGACATTTCGTGTTTATTGATTTTAAAATTTCCAAACATTTCATGTAGCATTTAGTTATGACGATTAAGAAGTGAATCCTTGGTTGTTTTGTAGTCGGGTTACTTTTTGCTAATGGATGCGTATACGTTCGTGTTGAAACATGTGATTTTGTTTGCAGAAGGGGTTGAATATGCATCTATCATATCAACACCAATGTATATACATATTGGTGTTTTTTACGGGAGTAAAATAGATGTTAAGAAATTGTAGTTTGTGATGGCTGATAGTTGAAATTTGATTTTTTTTTTCTTTTGCAGTTGGGGATTGTGTTCTGATGCGTCCTTCCGACAGTGGTAAGCCTCCATATGTGGCACGAATTGAGAAAATGGAAGCAGATAGCAGGAACAATGTGAAGGTTAGAGTACGGTGGTATTATCGTCCGGAGGAGTCACTTGGAGGAAGGAGGCAGTTCCATGGAGCAAAGGAGCTGTTTCTGTCAGACCACTATGATGTGCAGAGTGCCTATACCATTGAAGGGAAGTGCATTGTTCATTCTTTCAAGAACTACACTAAGCTGGAGGATGTTGGGGCTGAGGATTACTATTGTAGGTTCGAGTATAAGGCAGCTACCGGAGCCTTTACACCTGACCGAGTTGCCGTGTGAGTACTGTGATCTGTTGGTTTGTGAAATATGGCTTTTAGTTTACTTTTTGGCAATATGGTATCAAATATTTGGTGCCCCTGGGTTTTTTTTTTTTTATGTTTTTGAAGGTACTGCAAATGTGAGATGCCATACAACCCGGATGATCTCATGGTGCAATGTGAGGGATGCAAGGACTGGTATGGTGTTCTATGCTTCCTTTTATGATTTCCTGGTGCCAATGGCCTGATAATTTTTTAGATATTTGTAATGTTTTCATTGTGGTTCCTAATTCCTATAGGTATCACCCTGCTTGTGTGAGCATGACAATTGAGGAAGCAAAACTGCTGGATCACTTTGTTTGTTCTGAATGTTCTGAGGAGGATGTCAAAAGAGCGCAGAACGGGTTTCATCCATCACCAGTATCTGATGTAAAGGTAAGAGATCTTTTTACCAAATCCACATGATGCTTCACCAGTTGTTTCACTTTATTCTTTAAGACCTTTTATATTTCTAATCCTCCCATATGCAATTTATGGAACCTGTTTTTTGGTATCTTGCAAGGTAGTTTGTTTTATGAATTTAAGGGCAATTAAGTGACATTTTCATTCTCCGCAAAAAATAATAATGGCACGCATATATGCACTACAGTCACTGGAAACCCTAAAGTTAATGTTGGTTATCTGTGTTACAATTGATTATAAATGGATAGAACGTTCATTTAGTGAGGGAACGTGCATTACCCTGCAATGCTAGTTCTTTTATTTCTGTGAAGTGCCATATAAAATTGTCACCAGATATAGTGAAAAGTACATTTATCTGGATTTTTTGCTAAAAAAATAACTATTAGTGTTTTGAGGTTGTACTTCGATTTCTCATTTTTATGAACTTTTCCAGGTGGAAGCTAAACGGCAAAAGAGATAAGTTAATGATGGGGAAATTTTTGTTTCATAGGGGCGAGATTCCTTATGCTGATTTAGCTTGTTGGCTGCTGTTGTGTGAGTTGTATAGCGTAGAAGTTGTGTTTTGTCCAAATTGTGGCTGTTAGTAACTTACGTGCTGGAATGGAGACATCCGTGTCTGCGGTAGGTTAAGGAGATTAAGTCTGTACGGGAGGATTCATTTGTAGTTTCCCTGATGTTGAACCCATAGTTGCACTACAAAATATTTAGAATCTTGCCTTTCTTTTCGTGGCACATGTTCTTGGTTTATGCATTTGTCTCACCATAAGCTGTCTCACTAAAATTCAATCATCTGCAAAACTAATGTTGAATGACCCAAGATTGCTTTGGCTTTAGGTTGTGCCGAAACTATATTTGTTTCAAGAAATACACCCAGCCTTACGAAGAGGCACAACTTATGTAGTCCTTTTCTTTCATTGTGAAAACTTGGCAAATGGGATTAGTGCCGAATAAAGATAAAGGAATCATTCTTCTGGCTATGAGCTTCAATTTATCTTCTGCAGAAGAGAGATCAATATATTTAATTCTAATGTAAGGACATACAGCAGAATTTCATGGCTATGCTCTTCTTGCAAACATGGGTTGACCCTAAGATGTTTATTAAACAATAATTGAATTTCAACATCTACCAAAAAATACAATTCCCAAAGTCTTCTTCGACATTCAACTCAAAACGAGGATCCAACAAGGACAAGTTTGCCCAACAATAAACAATGTATAATTGATAAGAGTTTGATTTGAGACTAATATTAAACAACAAAGAATGTTACATGTTTTAATTGTAACATCTTTAAAAGTTATAAAACGGAAATGTGTCAATCAGTATGACACATACACTCTTTACACCGTGGATACCGGTATACGCTTCTACCTTTGGGTCTACTCTGGACATGCTTAGTTTGCCTAACTGCCTTCCTTACTCTCTGCTCAAACACTTTCCACTCTATAGTATTGTTCTTCACAAAGATATCGGCTAATCTCCTTTTATTTGGGCGTATTGTAGGCATCTTCCCTCCACCGTAGTATACTCGATAACCAGACACCAGAGATGACAATTGGCTACCAGAGTCTGTCATGGCAAATGCATCAGCTGCTGTGCAGGCAATAAAGTCCAGTGCTGCAAGCTACAGGTGAAAGGCCATAATGTCATTGCACTAGCAACAAGAATGAAAGTAAACAACATTGTTAAGAGCATAGAAAACCATTTGTCCTAATCTTACATGTCTTAAAATGCTGTATGGAAAGTTCTATCAGAAATCTTAGTTATTCCGTAATTTATATCAGTGGTCGTTAATGCAGTGAATTCATGAAAACAACCTGGAAACAAGCATTAGCAGCTTGTGCATATTGAAAAGAGCTAAATACCGAAGCAAATATGAAAGCCCAAATTTCGGAAAAGACCAGCAGCCAGAGGAGCCGACAACTCATCAATGCAAAAATAGCAAAACCCTATGTTACTCGGACTCGGGTGTGGGTGTCATATACATGTACTAAACACGAGCGAGTATAGTTAGACTTTTCTTATGTTTTACATGTATTTAAAGGATTCTTGGAGGTCATATCCCCATATCCATTTGTTGGACATGGATGCTTCAAGAAAAACGAAGAGTCCAGCAACATAGGCAAATCCTACAATTTTCATCAAACAAGAGGTGAAGGTGCCACACTGTTACCTGAGATGAAAAGTTCATGAATGGTTCAAGTTCCGTAGGTGAAAGCAAATTCTCTTTGGTAACTAGATTAGGATACAAACTTGTCAAAGCAGCTAATCTTGATGTCCCTCCATATATTTGCGCCCCTGCGACATATATTTGAGTCTTACGGTTGAAACCTAGAGCAGCAAGCATAAGTACTGATTCTTCTGGTGTTAAAGGACATAACCCTTCAGATCTGAGCATAGCAGGGGAAGGTAACCTGAAACAAGTAAAACAGTTGGTCTCGATATAAAACAATATTTTGCATGCTTCTCAAATTCAGAAGGAACGCAATGGTATAAATTTGACAAGAGACGGGAAAATATAGAAATTTATCCGTACTTTTCAGTCTTCTCTAGCTCTGTTAATGCAGGAAAATGGATTTGTCGAAATGCTTCCAATTCTTGTCTCTCTTCTTCACCTCCACCAAACTCACATAATGAATGAGCTACCATGTCGATCTCAAACCTCAAATGCAAAGCCAGATATCTGGATGGTTTTTTGGCACGATCATTCCTCTCAATTATAGCTGACACTGCATGTGGACCAACAAGATAATGATCTAATAGTCCTGGCTGAGCTGAATGCTTGTGCAATCTTTCAAGGAGTAAAGCAGCAGTTTCTTGTATCTTCGGAAGAAATTTAAGAGCATGAAAATTACATCTGCATCGAAGTCGCTAGATGAAGTTCCCAAATTAGGAAAAACATAAGAAAGAAAAGGGCACAGCTATAAATTTTATTAACAAGAACTCATTATAACATAACCAATGGATAAAAGCTAGAACTAAAAGGAACATGACATGGCCTCATATATCAAGACTAGAAATTTACCTGCAACTGAAATGGTATTGGGTCAAATGCCAAACGATTCCCAAATCCAACGAAATGGACAACTCTTTTCTGAAGTAGGATAGGGAGAATGTTTTTCAGATAAAAGCTTGGTTTAGATTCCTTCATAACATCTACGTCTGTCACCTGGAAAATCAAATAATGAACAATGACTGTAAGACAAAACAGCCCAGGACAAAAGCTGCAAGCAAAAACCATTCAGAACTTGATTTTGAGGATGAAACTCACAACGCTACCAATTGCCTCCAAATCTAGAGACTTTAGCTCTTCAGGAAGTTGTTTCACTATTTGAATATCTGGAGCCAGGTAGTTAATAAAATGCTCCTCCTGATAGATATCACTGAATTGACTACAAAATATAAACACAATGCAGTTATTCTTCTATGAAGACCAAATAGAAGACATTTCGGTAGATATTTTTATAAATTTAATCTGGAGGACAATGAATGTAATCTGAAAGTAAATTCCTTTCATTTAGTGTTCAAACAACAGTACACTTGAAAAAAAATAAAAAAGAAATGCTTTAATGCAATGAAACATCCATCTTCCAAGGGGAAGAAACACAAAAATGTAATAAAAATGAAAATTATCAGCAAAAGAAAAGAAAGGAACAAAAAGCTGCCTCACCTTACATCTTTCCAAACACTACTATACATAAATTTGGGAACAACAAGAGTTGCATTAAGTAAGCGAGCAACAACAATAGCATTGCAGACCTGTCACCGACGGTAACATTTATCAATCAAAAACCATATCTGCTAAACTCAAAAGGAGAGGAAGGATGAAAAAAGATGAGCTCAGAACACATGCTAGAATTTCTGTAACTGGAATCACTTACAGCTACACGCTGCTGGTTTATTCCACCATTTGCAGTGACCATAATGTATCCATTCTTACCCTCTACCAAATAAATAAATACGTAACATGAGAACTGAGTGATAGTCTAAACTTTGGTAACTTACATTGCGATGTAAACATATAGAAGTCAAAGAGAGATACCATCAGGTTCCCAGTTACGTTGATCAGCACAGGGTCTCCAAGAAGAGGCAGGAACTGAAGGTTCCTGCCATAAGTCTTTTGGTTCACGTTTATTTTGTCCCTGGCATAACAATTTTTTCAATGAAAACATGGAAGACAGGAGAATAGAAATTGTACCAAAACAGGAAGACCATCATAGAGAATGAACGAAAAAGATATCATTGCTTATATTTAAATACCTCGGCCAAAGCATGAGCGGCCAAAGCCAACAATCTTCCATAAATACCACTGTAATGCCTTTTCCCTTTACTAGGCTTTTTCACCTTTACCTGCAAAAAGCACAAAGGTAATGCTTTGGTGAATAAATTCATATCCTACAGAGAGTAATGACAATTGTCTAGAGAAATTGTAATCGTTGAGATCATGTCCAATACTTTCCAATGCTTTAACCATCACTATTCAAATGTGTGCGACTAATCCTTGAATTATGGAAGTCACACTTGTGAATGGTGATTAAAGTTGTATTAGATACTAAAGGAAACAAAGTAATGGAGGGAAGCCAAACCCACGTTATACAAGCTCTCTTTCACTTAGCAGCTTGGGGATAAATGGTTCATGCACTTCATTACACTGGAATTACTTACATTAATAAGGAAACAACGCAGCTAATTACATACTAAAATCCATTATTTTCTTTTTATAAAAAAATCCATTATTTTCTTCACCATTACCGTAAATGTGACATAACTCTCAAAGCAAATGAAAGTTGATATACCTGAGGCTGAGGCTGAATCGAAACAGAACTCCTAGAAGATCCGCCACGGGGTCCGACCCGGTGAGCTTGTAACCGCAAGAGCATAAACCAATCGATCAAGAAAAACAAACCCACCAAAGCAACCAACACTACGAATCCTTTCACCCTTTTCTTTTGGTACCATAGTTTAGATCCTCTTCTCCTCACCTTCTTTGATTGCTTCTTTCGATCGCCCCATAATTTTCCCAACAATTCACCTACAACAAATGACGCCCCGCTCTTTTCACCGTTCAAGAACCGACTGGGGCCGAGTCGGGGTGACTGACTGGGGGAACCTTGACGGCTCCTGGGACTCGCCCGGAGGTCAATCCGGTCGGGGATCCGACTGGAATTGGGTTGGTCTTGTTTAGATTCAGGAACAAGATCGTGGGGATTGTTTATGTTGATAGTTGAAGACATTAATTGATGGGTTTCAAGGCTTAGATCCAATGGAAATGAGTTAAGAGGAGTGATTTTTGCTCAGAACATCACAGCGAGCGATACAAACGCCGATTTATCCAGTGTGAAGTTAAGAGTGCGATTTTGCCGAACGCTGGAGGTGGTGTAGACATTGTTTTCAGAACCGGATCGGTTAGCGAATTAGTTATATTATTGATTTATTGGTTTAACCGGTTGAATCGGTTTGATCGGTCAGAATAACCAGACGATGTCATAATTATTTAAAAAATTAAATAAAAATATAAAATATATTTAATAAAAATAATTTTTTATATCACAAGTCATATTCAAAGCAAGTCATAACATATATAAGTTAAAAACCATAAAATCAAGTGAAATAAAATGATTCAAATTAACTACAACATAATATTTAAGGTAAAACATATTAAATAATAAATATAATTATATAACTATAATTAAAAAATAAATTTGGGGTTAAAAAATCATAACAAAATGATATTGTTTAGTTTATTTTTTAAAAAACAATCCCACATGGCTAAGAAACATAGAATAACATTCAAAAAGTCTAAAGAGTAAAAATATGATAACAAAACAATCTCACATTGCTAAGAAACATAGAAGCGCATCACAACTAACTTCTATAAATAATAGAGGTAATTTGGCATTCAAAATCATGGAGCCTTTTGATGAGCATTGAGTGAACTATTCTTTCACTTCAATCAAGCTCGAATTTTAGGCTTCAATCGAGCTTCTAATTTTTTTTGAGTTCAAGTTTCAATATTATTTTTCGAGTTTGAGTTGAACTTGATAAATTTTAGCTTGTGAGTTTGAGTTGAGTTGAGCTTACTTTTAAAGTTTTCAAGTTCGAGTCGAGCTCAGCAATACTCGAGTTCGAATTGGCTCGTTTAACAAACGACGTTGTTTGGTTTAATTTTAAAAAAAACAAAAATCCCGGTTTTTCCCGGTTTTTTTCGGTTTTTTTCTGATTTTCAGCCGATCCGGTTCGAACGGTTCAGCGGTTCTGGCCGATTCACTAATAGCAATTCAACCGATTTAAATTGAACCGGACTAAGTAACGGTTCTTGGTTAAACCGACCGGTCCGGTCCGATTTTCAAAACAGAGGGTGTAGGGGTTTGGTTAAAATTTCTGAAATTCTGAGATAAATCATGGAAAACTATGAGATTAGTCTCTTTTATTTTTTGTCTGGTTTACTTTAATTGTAACGTTAAGTTAGAAATTTTTTTGAAGCAATGGAATTGTAAGCTTCAACAGCCTTCATAGTCTTTCTTCATCATCTATGTTTGCACTCATAATATATCTGAAGATACCAAATTTCGCCCAGAACCAGACTACACGTGGCCCGACCCGGTTCAAGACCCGAACCACCCAAAGGTGCAGAACCCTAGTTCGCCGCAAGCCCTCAACATAGTCAACCCTGCACGATTCTGGAAGAGTCCCGATTTCGGTGGCAACGTCCTCCATTTTTCTCGGTGTTTGAAAACTACATGAAGATAAAAGACAAAGCAAAGAGTTTTAATCTCATTAGAACTCTAAAACCGCACGGAATAGGCTTTTATTTTTGCTATAAATAAGTGTAAAATCAATATGTAAAGGGGGGAGGAAGCAAGAAAAAGAGAGAAATTTCTTTCAATCGAAACACATTTAACAGCAATACAAACAAGAAGGAACTGAAATTGTTTCAACCAAACCCAAAGGTATTCCAGCTTTCTTTTTTCGTTCACTTTCTTTATATATTTGTTAAATCCTTGGTGTAATGGAAATTTTGTTCTTAAGTTCACGTAAGTTATAGGCTTAAGAAATAATAAATAAATAAATATTGGGAATTACCTTATTGTGGCTTCGTTGTTTGAGTTCTCAACTGAGGTGATGAAGGCTGCTTCGGTTCGTGGGGAGCCAACTGTCGCGGGATGATGAGCCAAAGGAGGAGAAGAGTGAATGGGTGTAAGGCTGCGAGCAGATTGAAATTGGGGAAGAGATGGGTTTTCTTATTTTAATTTTGGGCAAAATCACGCAAAAGATCCTCATACCTTTAGCGTGTTTTGCATTTAAGTCATCAAGTCATGGGTTAATTATCCATAGGTCCTAAAATGTTAAGCATCTACTTATATTCTGATCACTAATTTATAGGGTAAACCACCATTTTAGTCCCTCCTGTTCTAAGTGTATGTTATCATAACCCCCAAATCCGATTTTTAAACCCAATTTTAATTTGAATTCGACCTTCAATCGTGGTTTTATTTCAATTTAGTCCTGTTACTATTATTTTTCTTTTTATTTGTTTATTATAATCGTTATTATTATTTTTAATATTGTTACTTTACATATATACATATTTCTTATTTTACTTTATTTTTATATTATTACTTTTTATTTTGTTTACAAATTATTATATATATATTATTTTTATATATATTAATATAATTATTACTATTATTATTATCTTCATTTTTACTCATATATATATATATATACTATTTATTTATACGTTTCTTTTTTTATTTATTGTTTTCGTTTATTTGTTTTGTTTTTTTTAATATTTATTTATGTGTATATACGTATCTATTTGTTTTTTTTGGAATAATGTTTCCATGTATACATAATATACTTATTACCTTTTCTATTTTAAGATACCATATTTTATTTATATACATATCGTTTATTTTATTCTTCCTTTTATCATTTATTTTGTTTTCTCTGTTTTTTTTATTCACTCATGTTATCATTTTGTTTATTCTGTTTTATTTATACTTACATTATTGTTCTCTTTTCTGTTTTGTTGTTGCTCTCATATTTACATGTCTTTTTCTCCTAATTCGATCTTGTATTTCAATATAAGTCTAATACCGTTAAACTCTTAAGGGAATTTTCACCAATCAGAAGTAAGTAACTGGGATCTTATTTTTTTAAACTTTAAATTTAAACTTATAATTTTCTTAATCAAAGACAACTGGAAATTACATAATATCGAAAGGGCGGTTCGAGGGTGCTAATCCTTCCTTGACCGTAACCGACTCCCGAATCCGACATATCACTGGTAAGACGCAGATCAGGTAAGAAATAAGGTATCCGGTCAACCCATTTTTTCATAAAATAAATGATCGGTGGCGACTCCAATACATTTTCCTAAGTCGAAGCCCAATTCTGAGGCCCAACCGAAAGACGGTTGCGATAACTTGGCGACTCCGCTGGGGACTCTCAAGTGAGTCAGGCTAAGGTAATTTTCTGTCGTCTTTTTAACGAAAAGGGTAAGTTTAAGTTTTAAGATAACATTTCGATCCTTATTGCTTACTTTTGATTATATTTTTTTGAGTAAATAGTTGTACTAACCGTTTTCTCAATGACTTCAGCCCTTAAAGTATTTTTTCATCTAAGGCTCTAAACCCGAGCTCCGAACCCATTTTAAGTGGGGGTGAAAGCGACACATTCGTATGAATTTATTCATCGCATATGCCTAGCAAGTAGCCTTCAGGATTCATATACCTTATGTCTTCGTGTGAATTTATTCTCCGCATAGACATAAGGGAATGTGTCCTATCGAGTTTAACTTAATCTACACAAGCCTGTGATGGGTTTAGGACTAAGGGTCTGGCAAGCCCAAGAGGGCACCAGCAAGGAGAACTCGGGTATCATTTTTTAGCACCTAAACCGGGAGACTTTGAAGAATTAGAGCCTACCCCAAGACCACATTCCAGAACCTAGGACATTTCTTTCCTTACCATGTTTTTGGTCATTATGTTTTTTTTCTTACCATTTATTTATACTTATTTTACTAACTTTTTTCCTTTGTGTTTATTTTTTTAGCATTTACATCATAACAAGAGGTCATTGATCCCTAAAAAGTGTTTATTACATAAAATAATTGAATTAATGGATAAAGGTGTTGTAATACAAGAGATTAAAAACCCCGAGGTACGACTATGGTCCGAGAAGACTCAGAAGGAAAAGGGAGACAGCCTTCAAGGAAGTTATGTGTCAGAACTGGTTAGCTACGCCTCTATCAGCCTAAAGCAGAGCGACGTGTAAGAGCTTCGGAACATCTGGGGCAGTTGGAAGAATGATCAGAAACAGAAATTCAGCCAACGGTACGGTGACATTGCATTATTGCTTCATATCAAGACTGATGAGCCCTTGATCAGAGCCTTGGTTCAGTTCTGGAACCTGGGATACAATTGCTTCACTTTTAATCAGGAGGACATGGTGCCCACCATTGAAGAGTACACTACACTGTTGCACTGTGAAAATATCAGACTGGAGCGAGCTTATATTAAACACATCAAGAGTCAGCCTTTCAAGATTGCACTAGCCAAGGTTGCCGGGGTTGATGAAAGATGGGTAACAGACCGGGCTCGATGTAAAGGCAGTGGGGAAGGAATTGCTTGGCTTCATATCAAGCAACTGATAAGGGACCATCCTGATGAGTGGAAGGCAATAGACTTGTTTGCAATGGGTCTGTATGGTCTGATTATATTCCCGAAGACTTTGGGATACATTGATGCTGCCGTGGTAGAACTATTTGAGCAACTTCCGAAGTGAGTAAACCCAACACCTGCAATCTTAGCCGAAACCTTTCGATCTCTCAGTCATTGCAGAAGAACTGGCGGAGGAAGATTCATTGGGTGTACTCAGCTCCTTCAGGTCTGGATACATAGCCACTTTTGGAAGACTAACAGGGTTGCCTACCGCCGATTTAGCATTACATATTCCCCTTTGGGAGAGTTCATCACCATGAAATGGCATGAAGGCGCTTCAAAAGAGAAGTGGATGAAAGTGTTCATTCATCTTCAGGATCAAGATATTGCCTGGAGAGCCCCCTGGTTGTTCCTCAGTGAAATTATTTTCCGATGTGGGGACTCTGACACTATGACCTTACTTGGACTTTGGGGTGCAGTTGGGTATACTCCGTTGTTAGCACTTAGACAGTATGGGGCACGCCAGTTTGTCCCAGCAACATGCAGACTAGCTAGATCAGAGTTTGTGTACCATGGTGACAGTTATAAGAAGATGATCAAGGATGTAACTGATTCATGGAAGAAGGTATTCCGCATGGATGTTGTAGCTGCCAGAGACATGCTTACTCGGATTATATGGAGTGGTGAAGATTAAGAAAGAATGATAACATTCCGGTGCCAGATTGTGAAGACACCCGGACCATGGAAGAACATCTCAAACATGTTCCTTCTGAACTTGAGATAGCCAAGGCAGAGTTTGAAGCTGTGAATAATGAGCTAAAGCAGAAGATAAAAGAACTTGAAGCTGAGCGCTATCAGTGGAAGTTAGATGTCGACTCTCAGAAAGATCGAGCAGACAAACTAGAAAGAGAACAGAAAAGAGTCTGTTTTGAGCTTGAAGACTTGAGAAAGGGGTATCAAGATGCTGTCAAGGATAACTCCAAGTTGAAAATGTCCTCTGAGTACTGGAAAGATGAGGCTCACAGCTTGAAAAGAAAGTTTGAAGGACCTGATGAGAGAGCCTGGAAGGAACAGATGAAGACCGCCCAGAGACACTTAGCAGATAGTCAGCATCAAAACCAATGCTTGAGAATCCGAATGGTTGACTTAGAAAAACAAGATGAGAGAGATGGAAAAACAATAGTCGAGTTAGAAGCTATCATAGATAGATTCAAGAAGCAAGCAGCCGAGCTTCAGATAGTGCCCTTTGATGGAGGTCTGCAGTGGCGTTTCTGTTGGGAGCAAGCACAACGAAGGGTGAAGGCTAGAGACACAGTCATCCGAGACTTCCTGGATCAAGTACAGAAGGCAGCCCGTCATCTTCACGACCTGGCAAGGGAAGCCGGAGTGGTTCAACAAGGCATTCAACCAGTATCAGATGAAGGCAGAAGACTTGTCAACCTACTAGAAGTTGTTCGGGGTTTAGAGGATTTAGTCCGAATATACCTTTGATTGTTTTTATGTCTCTTACAAGATAAAATATTTTTGTCTAAATAAAGATTATTTATAATAATGAACACTTTTCTGGATCAGTGCCTCTAAATCGCATACATCATGCATTGCATACTTTGTATTTTATATTTCATGTTTATTTTTATATTTTCCATATTTTTACATTCATATTAACTAATAGAACATATCTTAGAAAGGGAAAGAGCAAACACCAAGCTTACCACCGTAAATATTAAATACGCATCACCCGCACAATACCCGAGCAAAGAAAAGACAAATGGAGGCCAGAATGAAAAACTCGAGGAGAACATGGTAAGACTACAAAAAGAACTGAAAGATAAGATGGCTCAAAACAGTCAGAGCACTCTAGAGTCCATCAAGAAAAACCAGGAATCCTTGGTCGACCAAATAGTGGCCAAGTTATCAGGTTTACAGCAAGCTAGTGTAGTAGGGGGAAGTCCCTCCGAAGGGGTAACCTTATCACCAACCTCACAGGTGGTTATGTCACCCGAGATCTTACCCAGACCATAAGAAAATTCTTCTGCTGTCAAAGGAAAAGCACCATCTGCTGTAACGGTGCAAACTTCCAAAACTAATCATGATAATCATCCGGATGATTACAGTATCCCGGATTTCAATGAAGATGACAAAGCAAAAAAGATGGAAGAGAAGATCAGGATGATAGAAGATCGATGAAGATGGTCCAAGGGGACCATGATTATTATGGAGTGGACGTAAGGGAGCTGAGCCTGGTTCCAGATTTGGTACTTCCACCAAAGTTTAAAGTTCCTGAGTTTGAGAAGTTCGATGGGAACATCTTCCCATCAGCCCATATCACTATGTTTTGTCGGAAGATGACAGGATATGGAGCGAATGATCAACTCCTGGTCCACTGCTTTCAGGAGAGCCTATCTGGTTCAGCTATCCGTTGGTACAATCAGCTCAACCAAACTCACATCAAGACCGGGTTATGCTGCAAAGCCTGAAAAAGAAGCACAATGAGAGTTTTCGACAATATGCGCAGCGATGGAGGGATTTGTCTGTGCATGTTCATCCACCCTTGGATGAAAAAGAGACTAGAAAGTTGTTTATACAAACCCTGAAGGCACCTTACTTCAGACACCTAGTGGCAATTACATATGGAAATTTCTCAGATTTAGTTATGGCCGGTGAAATGATTGAGTTGGCCATTAAACAAGGAAAAATTGAGGAATGAGACTCCAGTAAGAAACCTCCCATGAAAAACA